AATGCAACGGAGATACACTCCCTTTGTCGAGACTCGGCTGGGCCATCGCAGGAACGTCCTCGTCAAGCAGCCGCACCGTCGACGGCAAACAAGTGTCACACTCCCGATGGAACCACTGGATTGATTCACGATCAAGCCAGCCCGAAACAGCCTCTGACGAAGGCGACATGTATCCCCAGGCTGACGGGAGCACGCTTGAAAAGGGAAGCATGGTCAACCCCGACACGGGCCTTGAGACGGCTTATGAGGAAATCTGGGACGACGAGGAGCCCGCCCCGACGGCCTCGGAGCAGGTATGCGCGGTGCTAAAGTACGAAGAGGGACCAAATCGGGGCTTGGTGGTGAGGCTGGGCAAGTACGCGCAGGGTTTTGTCAGGTGCGGACAGGAAATCTCGCTGGAGAGGTGGGAGTGGAAGCAATCCCAGGCTGTGCGGACCATACGAATGGGCCAGGAAGAGCTGCCATGCAAACAGGCGCTGGAGAGGGCGTACAAGCTCGGCGATCAAGTTTCGGCCGGGTTGAAAACATGGACCGTCGTCGAGGTGGCATAAGTCTACGATTTAGCGGCAGAAAAAAGAAAACAAAAAAACTCGCTTCTACTCGGTCCTCCTGTCCCTCAACTCGGTCGCCAGTCCCCTGATGCCCCTCGTCTCCAAGGCAGTCAGCTTCACGCCAAAGTAGTCGTCAATGGCCCTCACCCTGGCGTCCTCATCGGCCAACTCGGCCACGACCTCGGCCTCGGCATCCCTCATCTGCCTCTTGACCCTGTTCCCGAACAGCGTGTACACGCCCTCGACGTGGCCGGCGGCGTCCAGCACGGCCCTCATGCCAATGACGTTTTGCACAAAGAAGCTCGTGCTGGCGGTCATGGTGCTCAGGTTCATGGCCTCGTAGTCGGCCCTGAAGAACTCGGTCTCGACAAACATGTTGCGCTCCTCCCACGGCGCCTGGGCGTCCTCGCGCGTCGAGTACACCCACACGCGCTGCGAGGGGTCCGTGTGCTGCGAGACGCTCCTGTACTCGAGCCTTCCCTGCCGCGGCGCAATCTGGGTGAATGTGTAGTTGTGCCGGAGGGGGATGGGCCGCATGGGCTCGTGCGAGCCGAACCCGACGTCTACGTTGTAGCGGGTGCCGCCGATGGTGACGATGTTGACCATGTGGCTCCTTTTGGAGGAAAAAAAAAAAAAAAAAAGAGTCAGTTCATATGGGGCTTGTAGAGTAGGAGAGGCGAGCGTGGCCTTTGGGTTTTTCAATTACCATCCTGTGTATCCGGCTGGCGTCTTGACCCTCCCGCCGGCATTCAAGACGTGGTATCCCAGGCCGCGCATCATGCCGCCGAAGAAGGCGTTGAGTTCCATGCAGTACCCGCCCTTGCCGTGCACGACAATCTTTTCAAAGAGCGCCTCCGGGTCGAGCGAGAGCCGTTTGTGCTGCGAGTAGTGCAGCGCAAACGACTCGAACGGCACGCGGGCGACTTGTCGGGCCACGAGCTGCGTGAGACGCTGCAGCGCATCCGAGGGGTGTTTGGCGCGTGGGAAGTTGATGTGTTGGAGGTAGCGGTCTACTTGATCCGGGGTGTATGCCATTTTTTTTCTTCCTTTTTTTCTTCCCCTTTTTTGAAGAAAAGGGGGGGTTGAGTGTTGGATGGTGATCTATTTTGCAGATGGTGGTGGCACGGCGCAAACGGGAAACCTGGAGAGACTGGAGCTGGAAGTGGATTTATATCCTCGAAAAAGAGCGGCCGCTCCATGACTCGATTGATTCCGTGGCAGTGTCTCTTTTATATGGACGCAATGGGGTCCAACTACACGATGGACGCCTTCTAGGGACAGCCCGTGCATGGTGTTGCGAATCGGTTAGGTTCGTGCTGCGGATGACCAATCGAATAGGCTATTCGGAGGCTGGACAGGGGCCGCAATTACTCAGCCGTTTATTTAGACTTTTGAGATCTGACTGCTTGGCACGTGGCGCGTAGATTTCTGGCGGGCGAATCGTGGATTTGAGATTGTCTGCCTAGGCAGCCTGGATGGCATGTCCGTGTCGACTGTGAACAATGTTTGTCATCCTCTTGTGACACCTGTTCATCGGATCGCCTGGCACGCTGATTGCCAAGTTGTCGAGTGATTCAGCTTGGATTTACGAGCAAAGACTCTTGAACCCTTGGTTGCTCCGTGCCTCATCAATATCTATGCCGGGCGGCTTCGATGCCAATACTCTGCCTTGTTGAAGCAGTTTACCATTACTCGCTTGTATGCAAGTGAATACCCAGTGCCCAACTAGTATTCGTTTCCGCCTCCTGTCTTGGACAAACCAAGTCGGCGTGCCGTTCATGTTTCACGGCTACCCAACTGCCGAAGCACAACCTCCCATTTTGCTTTGCTGCCATTGCCCATTTTCAACCGCTCGTACATGCATTGGGCAGTCTGGTCGGTCCGCATCGCACCCAATGTGACACATAAAACCGATATCGCACGCGAGCGCCACAAATCGGCGGCTCGTCAAAGGGAGGGAGGGGGGAGGAGAGAACTGGGGTAGAGGGCGCAGACAACATGTGTACTATATATACTAACTACCCGTTGACAACTAAGTGGGCTAGCCACTTAATACTTAGACTCCAATTGCTCCGCGAAGCACATCTCGATGGTTATCACGCTTTATCTCTGATAGCCTCTATTCCCTGATAGCAGAGTTGGACTCTGTGGAACAGCTCTTCCAAGACTAGTTTTATAATATCACAGTTACAACTGCAAAAGCTGGGCACCACCAACCAAAACATGACTGACCAGACCAGATCCTCCAAAGTCCTCCATCGCTTGCTCCTTCACCACCCTGAAACAATCACCTCTGCCTCCGGAAGCTACTACACCCTCTCCACCGGGCGGCGCATACTCGACGGCTGCACCGGTGCCGCCGTGGCAGTCATAGGCCATGGCGACCCCGATGTGAAAGACGCCGTCGTGGAGCAAATGTCCCAAGTCGCCTACGCTCACACCCTGGCATTCACCACAAACAGCGCCGAGGAGCTCGCCCGCACCTTGCTGGACGGCAATCCCTTTGGCCTGTGCAGGGCGTACTTTGTCGGGTCCGGGAGCGAAGCCGTGGACGCTGCCATGAAGCTCGCGAGACAGTACTGGGTCGAAGCAGGGCAGCCTCAACGCAGACGCTTCGTCGCCAGGAGGCAGGCGTACCACGGGAGCACCATCGGTTCCATGAGCGTCGGCAGCCACGTTGCCAGGCAGAAACCATACAAGGATGCCCTCCTCCTCAACAACGTCAGCTACGTTAGTCCCACGTACGCGTATCGCATCCAGAAGCAGGGCGAGGCGGAAGAGGCATACGCGCAGCGCCTGGTGGACGAGCTGGACGCCGAGTTCCAGGCCGTTGGGCCGGAAGCCATCATGGCTTTTATAGCCGAGCCAGTTGGCGGCGCAACAGTAGGCTGTATTACTCCCCCCCGGGGATATTTCGAGGGCGTCCGCCGGGTGTGCGACAAGTACGACATCCTCCTGATTCTGGATGAGGTCATGTGCGGCGCCGGCCGGACAGGCACGTACTTTGCCTTTGCCCAGGAAGGGGACGTCCGTCCCGACCTGGTCACCCTGGGCAAAGGTCTGGGCGGCGGATACACACCCATCGCCGGTGTCCTCGCTCACCAACGAGTTATTGACGTCCTGGCCGGGGGGTCGGGCGCTTTTGTCCACGGACACACGTATCAAGCTCACCCTGTCTGCTGCGCCGCCGCTCTCGCCGTGCAAAAAGTAATAAGGAGGGATGACCTGGTGGCCCGTTGCGCCGAAAAGGGCAAATGGCTGGAACAAGAGCTGCGCAAAAGATTCGAACCCAGGAGATACGTCGGTGACATCCGAGGCAGAGGTCTATTCTGGGCCTTGGAGTTTGTTAGGGACAAGGAGACCAAGGAGCCGTTGGCGCCGAATCTTCACTTTGCGAGTGAGATGAGGGACCAGGCGCATAGGTTGGGCTTGGCCATCTATCCGGGGGCGGGGACGGCGGATGGACATGCCGGGGACCATGTTATCTTGGCGCCGCCGTTGAATGTGAGTCAGGAGGATTTGGAGATCCTGGTTGACTTGTTGGAGAAGACGTACGATGTTGTCGAGAGCATGATTTCCTAGACCTGCCGTATTGGCGGGGGTTGCCAAGTTTGGCCATCAATGCTTTTTTTTTTTAATTTTTGGCCGGCGGATAGGTGTGGCAAGTAGCAGTTGTTGAATCTTGATAATCAGCCATCTATCAATGCTGTAGGAAATATTTGGGGTGAGGAGAGATGTTTGTTTAACTCGCGCTGAAAATACGTGCCAACCCCGTCAAAATGATATTGACAAGGATAAAAGAGAGAAAACGGCCTTTACAACTGGAAGCCCCTCCGCTTTGCCGGGTTAACAGGATAAGGCAGCCATTTGGGCCCTGAATGGAAAGCCAACTCAATCCCTGAATTGAGCAATCACAACGGGTTTGTCGTCCGGAATCGCGGTCAATGCGCGACTTCCTGTTGCCTGGTCGAGGCCGAAATTCACAGTTCAACTAGAAGCCTATCGTTCCTGGCCGAAACCAGGCACCGAAATAAAAAATATGAGAAGGGGTTCGTGACGGGGATTCAGTTCGACGTTGGTCGTGTTAGTCCAGGCAACCGCATTAACAGACGTTGCTCAGCAACAACCCCGATCTACCAATTCCATTATACCAGGATCCCAAAAAAAAAAGAAAAGTTGGAGGAAATTAGACCCCCATTTTGAGTAGGTTTTGATGTTTTGACGTCGTGTTTGTGATTCGAGAGGACATGTGAATAGGAGCCTAGTCATGGAGAGTCTCTTGGCGGCCAGGCTTGAGGAATGGAATTGATTAGGCAACTGCACAAGTTTTCTTTCTTCCTTTGCTACAAATAACTGCGAGTTCCAGATTCGACTGCAACATCAGAACGGACAATCTTTTCGCAATCACTGAATTTGCCGGCGTAAATCCCCTGATCAGATCGAGAAGCAATGGAAGAATTCATCACCAGCAACTTGGACCGCTACCAATGGCTTCTCGACCGAGTCAAGACGGGGCCGAAGCCAAAGGTGCCACCCAATTCAGATTCTTCTGTCGACAATTTAGTTTGTGCTCGTATACGGCCACTAGCAGATGATGAAGTCGCTGCCGGGCTACCAGCGTCCGTCTTTACAAGGGCTCGGGAGCCGGGGACGTTTGATGCGCATGAATTGAGACATGCTGTGAGGGGGAAGCCGGTTCTGCGGGTAAGTATCGCAAAAATATCATTATTCCGGTCACGAAGCTAATGGCTCGTACAGTCTTCTGCTTATACGGTGGACAGGTCCTACGGCCCTGACTCTCAACGGAAACCATCTACCAAGACGCAGTTCAACATCTTGTTCCTTGGGTATGGGGAGGCGGCATAGGAACGTTATTTGCCTACGGGCAAACAGGTTCCGGTCAGATATTTACAATCAGCGGTGTCGAGAAACTAGCCACCAAAGATCTGCTGGAGGGTAATCTAGAGGGACATCGTAGAATCTTCATCCCCGTGGCGGAATTCGCAGGCAATTCGGCATTCGGTAATTAGAAAAAAAGAGCCCCAAACTCGTCAGCCTCAGTGATTAACTCGCACCAACAGACCTTCTCAACGGCCGACGCGCCATCTCCGTGCTTGAGGATGCCTTTGGCAACACCCAACTTGCAGGAGCCCTAGAGCACGAAGTCAAGGCCGTATCTGAAGTCCTCGCACACATCGAGAACGCTACCAAATTTCGTCACACGGAGGCAACCAAGAAGAACGACACGTCCTCCAGAGCTCACGCGGTATGCCGCATCCGCATAGAGATCCAGGACATCCCCAGCGCTGAAGGCGGCATCCTGTACCTTGTTGACTTGGCAGGCTCGGAAGCAGCCCGAGACAGAGACACGCACGGACCCCACCGCATGAAGGAAGCAAAGGAGATCAATGTCAGTCTTTCAGTGTTGAAGGACTGTATCAGGGGCAAAATTGAAGCGGATTCCCTCATTGGGACGCAGACGAAGAAGAAGCCGTATGCGCCGTTTCGGCAGAGCGCCTCGACAAAGGTCCTCAAGCACGTGTTTGATCCAGCGGGGACGAGAATCTGCAAAAACGTGGTCATGGCGTGTGTCAATTCGTGCCTTTTGGATATCTCGGCGAGTCGGAATACCTTGAGATATGCGGAGATGTTGAGGGGGTTTGTGCCGCAGGTGAAGGAGGTCAAGTATAGAAGTGACGTGCCGGCGACGTGGAATAATGAGCAGTTACGGGAGTGGATTACTGCGAATGTGAGTTATGATTGGTATTAGAGGCTTTAGCGCTTATTTCTTTTTTTCCCTTCATTCCTTTGGCTGACGATGCTTTAGTCTGGTTCGCCATCGGTTGATGCCACGGTACTGGCTCTTCATGAGACCGGCGCACAGCTGCTCCGTCTGCCAGTGCCAGAGTTTGAGACTCGATGTATGAAGACGCCTGGCGTTATCCACGAGCAAGCCTTTGCTTTTCGCCAAAAGCTGTGGCAACTTCATGTTGACTCTCGGCGTCCAAAGGAGAAGGCCCAGGTTGAAGAGGACGATGGTCCAGACACAGTTCTGGGCCACCTCAAGAAGTTTGACAGGTCTTCGAGCCGCGACCTTGACGCTTCGACTCAATCTATCCCCTTCAAGGATCGCATTCGTCCTGGTATGGCCGTCAGCTGGAAACCAACCGAGGAGCATGATATGGGTTGCTTCTGGGAAGGACCCAACATTGCTTTAATCTTGTGCCCTGCGGCAGCTGTCGGCCAATAACTCAGGACATAATGGGACGCAGAGTAGACGCAGGTTCTGCGAGCAATAAGACGGCAGATGGCAAATACAAGCGGTATCTGTGTGCCATGGTCGCGCCAGCCGTGCTTCCCGGTGCCTTTGAGGTGAGTATGTGGCGCTATGTGGTGGTTGATGTGGACGATATGGACAAGGAAGTGATGCTAGAGTATGACTCTGCGACGCGGTTGTATCATTTGGCGATCTAGAAATAGTTGCGCTGGGACGGATGGATTATTCATAAATGACGGCAAGGCATGTACAGAGTTGGCATGCCCAAACTAGATGTATCAAAAACTGTTTCCGTTGAAGCGACACATTCCGGTCGCGTGCCTGCGCCAAGGGTCGAGAGTCGTCGAGAAATTGCCGAATTCAACTAACAGCTTGGTCGTTCCTTCCCGACATCTGGGCGTCAGTACACAACTGGTGCCAACCGGACTGGAGTACTGAGAGCTATTATAGAGTCTGGTTGACCAGACCAGATTGACAGTTCCACGATTCGACGCTGGCGTGGAGCGTGGAGCTTCAGGCCCCGCAGCCCCTGAAGCATGCAGCTAGCAGCCCCCAGTCAGCTTCATCGCACGTCACCACATGTGCACTAAACCCCGCCAGCGGGCAAGGGACTGCCGCTGCCCCAATCAACGCGCGTCCAGATGTCTGTCTACCGCATTCGACCTTAAAACCAGACTCTTTGAACCTCCAATGATGGATTCTTGGGACAGACACGCCCTGCGCCGGCCCATTGGAATGGCAATGTGTCTTGATTCCAGCCCTGTGCCATTAACGCCATTTCTTCTCCCAAACCTTTTTTCTTTGGCATTCGCTTCATTCGCTTCACCCTCTTCATCTCCGCCCATGTAATACCGCTCGTTCCGCCATCATGATCAGCCTCGGCCGGCGGCGGATCCTCTCGGCCTTTCTGGCCGCCTTCGTCATCCTGACTGTCTGGCGAGCGAGGGAGCTCAGCGCGTCCGGCGGCGGTGCAGCCCCGGAAAGGCCCATGACAGGGTACTCCACGTACGAGCCGGAAAAGGACTATTTCTGGAGGACCATCAAGCACAATTTCCCCATTGCCCCGAGTCAAATGCGGTCCATGCCGACCTCTGCCGCAGCAACATTACCACCAGTCCAGGCCAAGTTCCCTCCCGAAACTGCAGACGAGAAGAAGGTGCGCCTAGGTCGGCAAAACGACATCAAAGAATCATTCGTCAAATCCTGGAACGCCTACAAGAAATATGCCTGGCTTCGAGACGAAGTCACCCCCGTGTCGGGCAGTTATAAGGACCCCTTCGGCGGATGGGGTGCCACGCTCATCGATGCTCTCGACACTCTATGGATCATGGGACTCAAGGATGAGTTCGAGTATGCCGTGTATGACGTCGAGAAGAATGCGCTTTTCCTCTCCACCCTCTCCAAGGAAATCAATGTGTTTGAGACGACCATCCGCTTCTTGGGAGGCCTGCTGTCAGCATATGACCTGAGCGGCGACAAGCGGCTGCTCGTCAAGGCGCACAATGTAGGCGACATGCTCTACAAGGCCTTCGACACCCCGAACCATCTGCCCATTGCGCGCTGGGATCTACACGAGGCCGCCCACGGGAATAAGCAAGAATCGCAGAGCTCGTCGCTCCTGGCAGAAATCGGCTCCCTATCCCTGGAGTTCACCCGCCTCAGCCTCCTGACCGGGGACCCCAAATACTACGACGCAGTCCAGCACATCAGCGAGCTGCTCGCCGCGTCTCAGAAGAAGACCAAACTGCCAGGCATGTGGCCCGTCGTGGTCGACACCCAGAAGGAATACTTTGACGCAGGCACCACATACACCCTCGGCGGCATGGCAGACAGCACCTACGAATACTTCCCCAAGATGATGGCCCTGCTAGGCCAACAGGACGGCATATACTACGACATGTACACGCGCAGCATGGAAGCCGCCAACGAACATCTCTTCTTCCGCCCCATGACCCCCACCAGCGAGGACATCCTCTTCCCGGGCTTCGTCGACATCGACGTCGACGACCCATCGCGCAAAAAGGAGCTCAGACCCGCGTCAGGCCACCTGACTTGCTTCACGGGCGGAATGCTCGCCTTCGGCGGCAAGCTCATCTCCAGCAACGACCACCTCGCGTGGGCCGACAAGCTCACCAACGGCTGCGTATGGGCGTACAGGTCCTTCACAACAGGCGTCATGCCCGAAACCTTCTACCTCACCCCTTGCGCCGACAGAGACTCCTGCCCTTGGGACGCGACCAAGTGGCAGGCAGACGTCGCCAAGGCCCACGGCGCGGGCGGGGGGGCCAAGGAAGCGCAGTCCATCATCGCAAAGGAGCACATCCCCGAGGGCTTCTCTAGCATCATGGACGCGCGGTACATCCTGCGCCCCGAGGCCATCGAGAGCGTCTTCATCATGTACCGCATCACGGGGGACAGGAGGTGGCAGGACAAGGCGTGGGAGATGTGGAAGGCAATCGACAACCTGACGTCGACGAAACTGGCCAACAGCGCCGTTGACAACATGAACCCCCCGGATGGGCAAAAGGTGGAAATGGCAGACTCCATGGAGAGTTTCTGGCTTGGCGAGACGCTCAAGTACTTCTATTTGATATTTTCCGAGCCGGACCTGATTAGCTTGGACGAGTGGGTGTTTAACACCGAGGCGCATCCGTTCAAGAGGTTGCGATAGAAAGTCTTCTATTTGCCCTGAATGAAGTGATTGGCATCGCTGAGTTGGATATGCGAAAGATGCCCACGTGCTTTACTACCCTTCGCTATGCATGTGAAATAGCACACCCCTCCCTGAAGAGGAAACAAAATAAAAAGAAATAGCTACTACCAGAGTGATCCTATTTCATGACCTGCCAGTCCTAAAACCTGTCCGGTTGTACTCATCGGAACCTCAACCTCCTTGTCCTTTCCCTTGTCACCGTTCTTCTCCTCCGTGTCAACACCGCTATCCTGCTGACGCACACTCTCATTCTCCCCGTCGTATTCTTCCGAAGTGACCTCCTTTTCCCTCTTTCGTTCCACCTTCTTAATGGCATCACCGGTGAGCGCCTGCCTCTCCAGCAGCTCCACGACGTCCTTCTTGCGCGTCTTCCTATCCCCAAACATAATCACCAGCCCCGCCGTCAAATTGCACGTGATGCTCACGCACAGAATCACCGTGGTGAGGGCAAACGGGCGGTGGTGATAGTCTATTCCCCATGTGCACGCGCCCAGTGAGATTTGCAGACACGAATGGCAGTCCAGCAGGACGATGATGGCTATGAGGTGGCCCAGCGGGAAGGCGTGGTGGGTAAAGGTCTCGTGGGGTTTGTAGAAACTGTGAGACTTGGAGAGCTTCTTTTGGTGGTGTTCGAGGGATTTGCGTTGTTTGGGGGTCAAATAGTCATAGTCGAGGGAGCAGGTCTCGGATTTGGCGTCTTCGAGATCGACTCCCGGGTTGTTGTCGCCGTCGAGGGCGGTGGGGGGTACGCCGTCGGCGGTGGAGGGTTGGTGCAGGGTCGGGGAGCCGTTGGGCTTTCGTTGTTCTTCTTCAGGAGGCGGAGGAGGAGGATGGGGGGGGCCTCGTCTGTCTTCTGAGGCATCTGTGTTTTGCGTCTTGGTTGAGGAATCGGTTCTCGCGAGCTCCTTGGCAGCTCGCTTCTTTGCTTTGGCAATCTTGCGGGCGTACCGCGCGATGAAAATCATGTGGTAGGTATCGACGGCTCGGAAGGGCGCTAGACCGTCGCCCATGATGGCGAACAGTGCAACCAGGACGCTGTCGATGATGTGGATGGCGTAGACCTGCTGTTCGCCGACGTAGATCCATCCGATAAGAAACAGGACCCAGGCCAGACCAAACAGCGTAATCAGCGTCGCGTACAGCGTCACGAAGAAACCCAATGGCCGCCGGACGTATTGTCCAAATCCCTTCATTTGTCGCTTGAACCGGGACCGTCGTGAATGCAGCATGTGGCGAACGTGGTCATCCAGCTCCCACTTCTCGGCTGCTGACCAGCCTTCTAGTGTTCTGCCGTGAGGCAGTGCCGCATAGTGAGAGTCTGATAGTCGCGAGGTAATCGTATCTGTTCGTCGGATGTAAGGTGCTTGTTGCACTTCTCCCTCTTCTGGCCGCGGGGCTTCTTCCTCATCTTCTCGAATTGTTGGCACTTGTTCTGGTTGCTGGATGGGCTCCCTCGCTGACACTGGTCGTGGCAAGAGTGTATCTGGCTGGGAGAGAACATATGCTGGTCGTCGATTCACCCAGCTTCCTAGATCGGGGACGAAGAGCGAATTCTGCACATTGGTCAGAGTCGACAGGGTCTGAACTTCGGGATCTGCCTTTGTCGTTAGCTCCCAGCACCAGCTGCGATTTTTGAGGCAAAAGGAAAGGGGACATACCAATAATATCCAACCAATCCACAAGCTCCTCGTTGTACTCATCCGTATCCCTCGAATCTGCCCCCTCGGCCGGCGCAGTTACCGACGTGCGCCTAAAACTCGGTTTCCACAACCTCCCGACAATGCTCCTCCTCTGCTTCTTACCCTCGGCTTCGTCGACACCGGCCTCCCCATCGCTATGACTTCTCTCAAGCGCGGGCGCAGGGGGCATGGACACGCTCGTATTCAACGGCGACGTCCCTCCTAGTCCCAGCTCTGCCATGGTCGGCCGAGCTCCTTCCTCGGTCAATCTAGGCAGCGCAATCTGCGGCTGCATGCGTCGTGAGTTTCTCGCAACCCTGGCTGCGGCATCTCCCACAGGCGGTGATGCCAGGCCAGGCTGCGAAGCACTCCGCGGTCTATTTCTCTGAAGGACCTCGTTCTCGCCATCATGTTCCTGCTGCTGCTGAGGTGCAGTCGCGGCATCCTGTGTACTGGACGTGGACTGCGGTGCACCGAGGGAGCTTCGTCGTATCCTGATGCTCGGGCGTCGCGGGCGGTCTGTGGCATTGGATTCGGATGCAGCCACGCTGCCAGCCCAACCGTGGGATGCTGTGGAAGTTCGTGATCTTCGCGAGGCTGCCGCGCTGAGCGGTTCAAAATACTCGTCGGCCGGGACATCCGACTCGGCTGGCGTCGCTGGCCCAGCAAGGCTGGCGGCCGAGAGGGTCGAGGCTCGGTTGCGGTCTGACGGGGCCTGGAGAGAACGCTGGGACCGCGAATGCGACGGGCCAGCATTCGAATTCGAATCCATGAGGATTGGAATCTGTCGCTGCCGTCGAAACAGCGGCGTGGGCGGACAAGATGGGTGGTGAAGAGGAAGAGAGATGCAGGGACAGACGGGTGGACGGCAGACAAGGGCCGGATGATTTTACAAATACACCCGAGACAAGCTAATTGTTGTCGGCATATGGAGTCTGGAGCAAGTCATAGTACGGAGTACAACTAGAGTCACTGGTCGCGCTTGCCGTATCCCGGTGGATACCATGTTGCAAATTATTCGAGAATGTCGAGAAATGCCACTCTGCAATCAATCAATCACCATCTCAACTGCGTTACAGCGCCAACGGCCAAAGCCCAAACGGGTTCGCCGGGGTTCTGCTCTCGTTTTGGCAGATCTGGCTCCACATGCTAACAAGTGGTCTTCTGGTGCGAGAGTGTCACACTTTAGAGGGCACTAATTATAACGATAATGTATATATACAAGTCTATGTCTAGCTATAAAAGAGAGAATTATATGCGCTCTTTTTATAAGTGCGCTTATTATTAGGGTTATTTACTTATAATTAAGAGTTTACCCTTATTTAATTATACGTATATAATTTATACTTATAATAAGTAACTTATTTTAATATACCTCTTAATTAAGCCTATTATTAAGGCTATTATAAGCTTTCTTTTTCTTATTTAAATACTTAATTAAGCGTTAAGGCTATAATTATAGGCTTAATTACGTATACCTTACCTTTTCTTAACGTTTTAATTAGCGTAGTCTTTTATTAATTAAAAGCTAACTTATTAACCTTTTATTTATTAAGGTAAGTTAAATATAAGCTATACGTTCTTATTAATTATACTTATTTTACTTTTATACGCGTAGCTTATTAATATTATTAGCTTCTTTTTTCTTTATTATATATTACTTCTTTAATTATAATTATATTTTAA